ACACAATATAGAAGAGGTAAACTTAATGCAAATAGAAATTAATATTCCAAGTTTAAAAAGAGCTATTATTTAAGAGTAATCAGTGATAAGGAATTACAAAATGAACTAAGTAGTATTGCAAATAGATTAAGAGATAGAAAGGAATTAGATTTAAATACAGATAGATTACTTGTAGTAGAATATGAAGGAGGAAAAGAGGTTAAAAAGATAGGTATTGAATAAGTTGTAGCTAGTGATAAGATTAGTAAAAGTAGTATTAGCTTTAAAAGTAAAATAATTAACTAGTCTTTTTCTATTCATACTAAACTAGATGCAATATGGATAGCCTGCTAGTAGCTCTTGTAGAGTCAAGAATAAGGATATACTCAGATAGCAAAGTAGTAATAGAAGGTATTTTTGGCTCTAAAAAGTGATCAAGTATAAGAAATATTTTTAAAACTAAGAACCATAGTTTGATTAATTAGATTACAGATTGTTGCAAAACTAAAAATATTGATTTAGAGCTAATTAAAGTTAAAAGATATAGTATAAACTATTAGAATGACAAAGCAGATAAGTTTGCAAAAAAAGGCCTACTATCTAAGCTTATCTTAGAGGTACAAAACATAACAACAAGTAGAGTAAGAATAGTACTAATCTAGGAAGGCAAGCTAATAGATAGCTCTCTTAGGTCTTTTGTTAATTTAACTCTATTAACAATATACGAATATAAATAGGTAAACCTTAAAAACATTAGATTACTACTAAGTCAAAAATATGATCTACTTAATAATGAAGGTTTAAACTGGAGAAATATCTAAAATATACTAAAAAAACTGCAAGGAAGAAGATGCAATAGTATTAAAAAAAGTAAAGCTCTAATATTCAAGATAAAATATATAAACAAGTTGCTATTGACTAAAGACTTATATTATCTAAGAAATCCAAAGCTTTATAAAACCAAAATCTGTATCATATGTATTACAAAAGAAGAATCTCTAGAGTACATTACTAAGTGTCAGATATATCAAATAATATGAAATAGAATAGAAGAATTCATTGCAGAAGAGCTAGAATCAAAGTTATATGACAAGTAGAATATACTAGTCCTAGGTTAAACTTTAAAAAGAATATTTTTAGGACAAGATAATACAGATATACTAAACAAAAGAAGATTATATATCTGAGATCTAACTAGTAACAATTTCATATCAGAGATTAAAAACTTTTTAGGATCAAACTCTAAAACTAGCAAGACTATAAGTTGGTTTACTGAGCTCTTCTAGTCTAATTTTTTTAAGAGGTTATAAAAGTTTTGTTACAAAATTATAGCAAAATGAGAAAATAAAAATAATATTAATACTAAAATAAAGAAAAGAAGACTAAAATGAAAATGCAAGAAAAGTCAGAACATTGATCAAGTAAATAAAGAAAACTAGAACTCTAACAAAAACAGACTTAAAAAGTCTAATAAAAATAAAGAAGCAAAATACCAATGTTTAGCTAAAACTAAAGTCAGAATATAGATTGAAGAAGAACTAAAGAAAAGCTAACTAAGCTTTAAAAATAACAAAAGAATTTTGATGTAAGTGCAAAAGAGCTTTCTGTAGATTATTAGAGTATATATTTGCTTAGACAAACTACTTTTTTAGAAGAAAAATTTACTTTTGTAGCAAATTGCACTTGAGCATTTAAGGTAGCCAAGTGAGTTTAAAATTAAACAAAGAAGATAGTTTGGTAACTAGATTAAATTAGATTATATTATTATAATAATATTTTTTATATTTTCTCTTAAAAAATAAAAAGCAAGATTGTATAAGTTAAAAAAAAAAATTTTAACTAGAAAAGATTTTCTCTGTATAATATTAGCCAATAAATTTGCAGGATTAGATATAATATATTATATAACAAAAACAAAAAAATGCTAATATTTCAAAATTTTGCTTATAAAACCATTTTTTGAATTCTAATAAAAAAAAATTCTTTGCTAAATTTTGCATATACTAATATTTAAATAAAATTTTAAGCTATATTCTAATTCTAAAGTAAAAGAAAAAAGTTTTTTTTTTTAAAAAAAAAAAAAAAAAAAAAACAACTAGTATTTAAATTTTAGTTTTAAGTTTAAAATAATAGTTACTTTCAAGTTCAAATATACTTTCAAGTTCAAAATACAAGTTTAAAAAAAAGAATATTTAAATATTAAAAATTAATAACTAAAAGCTTAATTAAATCTCAATTGTAATAAATTATATTTAAATTAAAATCATTTTAATAAAAAAAATAAAATTCGAATCTAGGTTTATACAAAGCTAGTTTGTAATAGAAAACGAAGAATATAGCTTTAATCTGAAAAAAAAAAAGAAAAAAATTATTCTTTTTACAAATTTATTATATATCCATGATAAAGCATCGTGTAACAAGAAATATGGACTGTAAGCATACTCTAAAATAATTGGATAGCTTGACATTTTTTTTAAAAGTGTAAATTATCCAATCATAATCATAATTGAATAAGCTCACAAGAGTTTGGGCCGACTGGCCGACCCGTCAGAACACTACAAGGAATTCATTGGTACTTGTTATGTGGCTTTCTACCTTTTTCCCTTCTAGATAAATATTATTATTTCAATAAGACTTTCTTTGAAAACTTCATAGAGATAAAACAACGTCAAATAAAGGAGTTCAAATTGTCAAATTTTATTTTCCTTTAACGCAGGAGATCCTCAGAATACTCACCAATGGCTACCAAAGCTGCTTACAAGAGATTGACCAAAGAATACCTGGCCGTTCAAAAGGTTAATAAATTATGTATTTTCCATTTGTATTATATTATGGTTAATTTAACTCGTAAATTTTTTTTTTATTTGCGATTATATTAGAATCCACCACCATATATGATAGCAAAGCCACTGGAAAAGAACATTCTTGAATGGTAATTATCAATATAGGCTTTTAATCTTGGAAATCTAGATAATTATAACAAACGAATTTTAGCCTAATAACTTTAGAATTTTTTTTATTGAAATTAATAAAATATGAAAGATAATTAATAAAATTAATATTTTTATTGGTCTATAGGCACTATGTTCTTCGAGGACCTCCTGAGACACCTTATCATAACGGAGAGTATCATGGTAAGTCATTGAGCGACTAAATATCACTATATAAAGTTAAACATACTTATATAAATTTGGTATAAAAAAATTTTTTTTATAGGTGTTTTATTGTTCCCACCTGAGTATCCTTTCAAACCTCCTTCTATTCGTATGACTACACCTTCTGGTATAAAGAATTTTTTTTTTTTTTTTACGAAACAAATTAAAAATAATTATTATCAAAAAAAAATTATTTTTTTAAAATAATTATTATTGACATGTTA